TAAGGAGTGTTTTTTTCCAACCACTTAACATCGTTGAATCGAGTCCTCTTTTTTGTGTGTTCAGGTGGCAAACTTTCGAAAAGTAGCCAAGTCTTGAACCGCTCAGATTAAGGAAACTATATATAAAAATTTTTAAAAAAAAAATAAATAAATAAAAAATTTGCCCAAATTTGTCCCGAAGGATGATTGAGGGTTAAAAGAAAAGCGTTAATGGGTTAGACTGAAAGATCAACTTAATTTAAACGGCACGAATAAATGATAATACCACGACAAATACTCTTAGTACGCACTGTTAACAATAAGTATCATATACTAATAACTGAACACTGAGAAGTTTGTCGAGAAGTAACTAACTGCCTGCGAGTTGTTTACAAACTTTTCGGTGCATATTATATCACAGCCATTAACAATACATACTGTAATGGTAACTTAGCAAAACAAGTATGTTTATAACTTGTCTCTGCTTCAAAATGGTAAGCAAGTATCTTACTTGACGGATGCTCGAGTTGTCCTCTGGTAGACTCGTCAGATGTGTGATGATGTTGTCCACTGTAGACGCCACTCAGATCCACGTGTGTGGATTATACACGAACCTTCCGCCACAAGGACCAGCCTCTGTGCGCATGCGCACATATCTGTGCTTGATTAGATAGTACCCATAGAAATATTACTGACTCTATCACATCTAAATGAACATACTGATAATTGAGGGCCAATCATATGAAAGATTCATTTAGACCACTTCAAATGAAAGTTCGGGGATATATGAGGGTGGGTAGTTGGGCACTAGCACGTCACTGGCACTTTTGTCCTTTTCGTATACACTATATTAACCTTTGAGAATAATTTATAACAGCCAAATTTGTTTGTTTTGGGACGGTCTAACATGGACTTTTTAATTATATTATTCATAGTCACACAATGAATTTTCAAATTTGCTATATTAATTTTGCTAATGTTTAGAACGCCAAAGATTTAACATAAAAATAATTAATATTGCATAAAACATTTTAGTTTTCACGTCATCCAGCCAGTCACAGTCATCGTTCTTGAGGTTAGACAGCCAATCAGAATGTTTCTTGTACACACTCCTCTGTCAAACATGGCGGCGTGCACAAGTAGGACGAGAGAAATGATGGGCTTGCTACGAATTTTAAGACATTTCCCTCAGAACGAACGTATGTTACTCTGCTTTATATTCCCCATTACCAAATCCATATTAGATGGTATTAACAGAAAAGACCACTAATGAGACGATCATTAAAACAATAATCTGCTCAAGTGAATAGCTCTGCGTTTACAGAGTTTACAGCCCGTTGTAATGAATAAGTTAACTATTACTGATACCTAACATGATTTGTACACATACACAGTATTTATTTTATTCCTAGGACTTCTGTCGACGTCTATACTGAGGCACGATGCAGCGTCAGATGGACCTCCAAAATTCACTCCTCCAACCAAACCAGTTATAGACAAAACACAGAAAGAAGCATCTCTGCGACGGTATGTGTGTTGTTGTTGAGTAAATGCATATGATTGTGCTTTAGTTTACACCTGCCAGCTTCTTGAGGTATAACAGGTTCATTAGAAAGGGTTTATTGGAACCTGTCGCTCAATCAGCATATAACATGTATAAATGACATGTAGTTTGCAACATTTGTAGAAATGTGAAAGATTAAGAAAAATTTGAGCAAGACTGTAACTGTTAAATGAATAATGAAAGAAATAGTTTAAACTAGAATTTACTGTAGTCATTTTGAGCTATTTGCAAATAATATTTTTATTTTAAAATATGCAAACATTCACTTTTAATTGTATGCCTAATATGTAGAAAATGACATGAACCATTTAAAAGGTAGCCTGAATTTTCCAATTTTTGACAAAGTTTGCATCACTGGATGTTACTGTCAGCGGTTTAATATTTCTATCATAAAACTTTTATTAGTAACATGTTTCATAATTCAGTTGTTTTACAAAATAAATGTCTGAATAGGTTTTTGAGTCCAGAGTTCATCCCTCCTCGTCAGCGCACAAACCCTGTGAAATTTTCAGTAGAACGGAAAGACATGATACAGAGACGAAAAGTTCTCAACATTCCAGAGTTTTACGTTGGTAAGAAATACTGATGATTTGTAACACACTGCAAGACTCCTCGGTTTTATGGTGATTTGTGATTGAAAAATGTCCCTTTCTGTTCCTCCTTAAATATTCTCTTTATTGTTTCATGTAGGCAGTATTTTAGCAGTGACCATGACTGATCCTCATGTGAACGTGAACTTGAATCGCTTTGTTGGAATCTGCATTCAGCGCTCTGGAAAAGGATTGGGTGCTACTTTTATACTTAGGAATATTGTTGATGGCCAAGGTAAAAAAAAAAAAAAACTTGTAACATTTCATTTTACTTTTTTTTTTTTGTTTCGTTGCATTATCTGTTCGGTAGTGCTGCAACAACTACAATTTTTATTTATTTATAATACAATAATTAAAAGACATAATTGACAGATTAATTGATTATCAACATAATCCTCAATTGCAACCCTACTGTTCTGATTTGTACTGGTTTCAGTTTAATCATAGTATCCACTATGCATGGAATCTAATGCTTTTTGAGTTTTGTTGCCATTTTGTTATCAAATGCATAGTAATAAGTTTTCGTTCACTGTAGGAGTGGAGATATGCTATGAATTGTACAATCCACGTATGTGTAAGATTGAAGTGTTGAAGGTGGAGAAGAGACTGGACGACAATCTCATGTACTTGAGAGATGCTCTTCCTGAGTACAGCTCCTTCAACTTTGACATGCAACCTGTCCATTATGAAATAACAGGAGACGTTCCGGTCAGTCCGGTAAGGCGTTCTAGTTAAACATTTCTCATCTGTAACGGTAAATTGTACACCTGTGGTGTTCAGCCACTACATTTAAAAAGTTTCCTGTCGGTTTCTCTCTTTCTCTTGTAGTTAAAAATAAAAATGAAGCCAAAGCCATGGTCTAAACGTTGGGAGCGCCCCAAGTTTAACATTAAGGGTATCCGCTTTGACCTATGTTTGACTCTGGAGATGACGGAGCATGCTCAAAAGTGGGCAGAACCGTGGAGGCCGTACGATATGCTGAAGGAGTATGACACATTCAGTCTAGAGGAGCAGATCTTCAAGGAGGTACAGGAAAATCTCAGAAAGTGAACAGTCCATAGAAACCACTTCCAGCCTGGACAGAGACAATCCCTTTGAAGGGACATGAGGCTGAGGTGACACCTTTAAAGATGCTGAAAAGATCTGACTTTGGTGAGACATGCTGATGTGGTTCTGGTTCTGGGGTTTGCCTCAAAATGGATTCTGGAGATACATTCAGATGACTACATATGATACATCGGAACTTTTCATGTGTGTGTATTTTACATGCTTCTCACCAGCTCAACCGCTGATGCTTATCTACAAATAACCATCCTAAATTAAAATAATATCAATCATTTCTTTGCTGTTGTTTATCGTCTTATATTTGTGCCATTAGTGTCTGCAAATGCAGTTGTGTAAGCAGTGATACTGCTGCCTTGCAATTAGTCACTGTTAGCAATAGAGGGCAGCAGAGAACACTCCAAAAAAATGGTAATTGATATCTGAATAGCAAATAAAATATCCTAAATAATTATACCTTAATTCTATATTCAAAAGTAATGAAATTGTTTAGAAGTTATTTCATGTAGTCTAATTTAGCAGTTTTTTACAGTCTGAAAATAAATTACACTACTATTCAAAGTTTGTGATTACTACGATTTTTTTTTTTAAGAGATTAAGAGACTTCAAATAAATGCTATTTTTTTTTTTTTTTTTAGCTTTTGTCACAAATTGTCAAGTTGCACTACTGTTCAAAAATGTGTGGTCAGTACTTTTTTTTTTTATAAGAAACAGAAAGTATGCATGAAATTGCTCAAAAGCGACAGTAAAGACATTTATAATGTTACAAAAATCCCTATTTCAAATAAATGCTGGTCTTTTGAATTTTCTATTCATCAAAGAATCACAAAAAAGCATTACATTTACATTTAGTCATTTAGCAGATGCTTTTATCCAAAGCGACTTACAAATGAGGACAATGGAAGCAATCAAAATCAACAAAAGAGCAATGATATGCAAGTGCTATGACAAGTCTCAGTTAGCTTAACGCAGTACACTTATTATTACATTACATATATTAAAATAGGAAACTTTTATAATATTTCTTAAAATTAAAGTTTTTACCATTTCTTTTCTTGTCTTTTTTTAATCAAATGAATGGAGCCTTGGTGAAACATTTAAGCTTTTCAATAATGTAAATGAAAAGGAGGAGGCAGTTTTGGGCTGTTTTCTACATGGAATGGAATTCATGGAATAATATTAATTGAGAAACTGAGACTTAGATTTAATATGACCCAATTATTTATATGTATAGGTTAAAGACTATTAAAAAGTAACACGCATATTCATTTACTCTATGGTATAGAGTAAATTAATATTTATTTCCTCTTTAATAGTCTAGTAGTTAATATACGTTTAATATTCATAGTTTAATAGCTGAGTAAAACAACTTAAACCAGCATGATAAGATGGCTGTAGAGTGGTTCTGGGCACTTTTCAACCCAAAGCTTACCTAACTAAACTCAGGCTGGGACAGCAGTAGACGAATTTAGGCTGGTTTAGTATGTTTCTCAGTGCAGTGCTTTAATACAAAATTCGCAACGTCTTGAAATACAGCAGCTGTTCAGTGAACATCTCGCTAAACTCCACTTAAACAAAGGTGTGCACAGATTTTCATATCAGTGACTTCTAATGTCCAGACGTGCTATTTCAGTTCAGACCCTGTGCTCGAAATGTATAATCCACAGCGTGAATTTGTCACATTATTTTGGTGACGGTATTTTGTCCTAAATCTCGTGCACGTCTGTGCGCGCGAAGCTCCGCCCATCCTGCTGTTGTCAGTGACGTCAGCCCTATCACTTGTGGGTACTAGTGAAACGACGCCGCAGTCCGCGGTCTATTCTGCAGTGAGCAGGTACAGCCGGTCCTTCACCTGGATACCAAAACAACACGTCTCCCGTTATCCGAGGATATTTTCGGTTACGCTGGCTCTGTTTTTATGAAATCACAATAACACTGTGTCGTTCTCTTTCGCGATATGCACGGTAAGCGTTTATCATTTGCAGTTCCCTATAGGTTAGCTACTCTATTGTGATGCTTGCAAAAAGGTTGCCGTCTATTGTTAATATTATATATGTTCAATGTTTAATGAGCATTTTTTAGACGCTTAATCATTTTGTCCGAGAGAAAAGAGCGCAGTTTCGGAACAAAAGCCCGTAACGTGTTCGAGAAGGAGCGGAATCGCTGTCATTGATTTCAATCACACAACGGACAAACTTGTTGTGCAGGTTGTGAATTTATACAGCAACTCAATCCGGTTTAAGCTCTATAATGAGCTGGATCATTGTAAGTGTTTCCCAGCGGGACGCTGAAAGTGTCGTCAGAGATGCAACACACCTGTCCCACTAGTGCACCTGCTTCCAGGATACCTGTGTCTACAATGACCCTTATCATCCAGCCTCATTCCATATAGAAAATGTACTTTTAGTTAGATAACAGATGCCTCATTTATTTGCCAAATTAACGCTTAGTTCATGCAGAGTTCATGTTACATGGATGTTAATGTTACATAGGGATTATAATTACATAGGGATTAGCCTACATACACATTTTTATTCAGGATTAAAGTTATATTTTTAATTTATGCTTGGCACATGTTGTGGAGTTAAAACACTTTTTAAAACACAGTTTGGTTGTGAAACAACAAACAGAAAAGATTGATGATCAGTTTTTTCATGAGTAATTAAAAAATGAGATATTTTCACAGTGAATTAAAAATATTTTAACATTAGGCTAACTAAACTTGTCACTGTTGCCAGTATTTTATAGTATTTTTTGTTATTATGTAGGTAGACAGATAGATTTTTTTATTTGTTTATTTAATTTATTTACTTATTTTTGCTTTTTCCTGTTTTTAATGTCTCATCCAGATATTCAGGACTGGCTGATTTGTAAAATATTACATTTGGTCCCTAAATCAGCCTGTGAAAAACAATACTGTTTGCCCCTAATATGAATATTGTGGGGTTTGTGTCATGTGAAGACATGTATTTAAGATGGTAAGATCTAAAAGCTAATTAAAATTAATTCTTATTTTGTACTACATATCCCAACCAGCCCTGAAACTAATGTAAATAGTTTGATAGTTTTAATGAGGTCCTATTAGTTAATGCATTAATTAACAATGAGCAATACATTTATTTTAGTTTTTGTTGGTAATGTTAGTTCATGCTATCTCAGCTCCTTTAAATAATATTAAAATATACAGCTTTTAATTTCTATAATGTATTAGTAAATGTTGAAATTAACATTAACTAAGATTAATAAATGCTTTAGAAAGATTTTTCATTGTTGGTATATGTTAACTAATGTATTGTTAACAAAATAGAACCCTGTTGTAAAAGGATCAAGAGGGCCAACACAACTTTGTGACACCTAGTTGTGAGTCAGAAAAGAAATTTTGGTTTCATCATGTCGTTCAATAGTATTGCTCAGAACTTACTCACTAGATTACCCTGTAATGAGAAGTGTGACCCAGGCTATTTCCTTTGAAGTTTTTTAGATTCACAGACTGTTGTAGAAGTAGGTTATGTAGTGTGTGCCAACCGGCATATATTCTCGTAACTCTCTCCCTCCAAGGCTAGCGCTGTTAATCAAAGCATAGAGGCTACAATCTGTTTCGGCTCTTGCATCCTCTCAGTATGTGGGGCATGGGCCAGTCGCAGTAGTAAATAACCTGCGTGATGAATGGATGAGTCTGGTCAGGGGAAATATGCTCACCGTCATTTCTTTTCTCTTATCGGTACGGTGATAAACTCACCACTGTGAAATACGTCAAGATGGCTACATTTATCATCGTCAGTTGTTGTTCATTTGCTGACAGACTTGGCTTTGTATGTAATGATCTCGGGTGGCAATCAGTTATTTTGTTTTAAAAGCATCAGTGGTCTGGAATAATGCTGTGTTGTTTTAATGTTTGCTTCGATTCTCTCTGAGATTTTTGAGGCCTAATCTTTGTGTAAATGTCAGCGGAATTTATACCTTATTGCGATTGTTCTTTGAAAACGTAAATCCTTTGCAAGTCAGAATTGTGCTGACATCACATGCATATGCACTATGCAGACAAGGCCTTTATCTAAAGCATCTATGCAGATGACATCATTTCCTGTAAGATTAATAGTGGTAATGTTCATGTGTACAAGATGTATCATATTGCTGTGTACACTATCGTTTGGGGTCAGTAAGATTTTTTTGTTTGTTTGTTTTAAAAACAATTAACACTTTTATTCAGCAAGGATGCAGTTCTTTTGATCGTGTTGTTCACCAAAGAATCCTGATAATAATGTATCTGTTTCCACAAAAATATTAAGCAGAATAACTTTTTTCAACATTGATAATAAATAATTGATAAAAAAAGAAATGTTTCTTGAGCACCAAATCAGCATATTAGACTGATTTCTGAAGGATCATGTGACATTGAAAACTGGATTAATGGCTGCTGAAAATTCAGCTTTGCATCACAGGAATAAATTACATTTTGAAATGTATTCAAATAGAACACAGTCATTTTGAAATTGCAATAATATTTCCACAATATTACCGTGTTTACTGCATTTTGATCAAATAAGTGCAGCCTTAGAAAGCATAAGAGACTGCATTCAAAACCATCAAAAAAATCTTACTGATCCCAAACTTTTGAATTAGAGTGTATGTAATGTGTACGTATGAATAACTGAGAATGCACTGATGAAAATGAATTAAAATATTGTGAATTTGACTTGACATCATCTCAGGCAGAGATTTGCAGGCAGTCTGAAGTAAGTGCCTAATATAAAGTGTGTATGTGGATGGTTGATGTGACATGCTTTCTATTTGAGTTTCATATCTCATTCGCAAGATTTTTCACTCTTGAATGCCAACCACCCATGTTCTGTGCGATTACTGGTGTGTGTGTGAATGTCCCAGTGGGAACAGGGTGGAGTGCCCCAGAAATATGCCTTATATGTCACACACACACACACACACACACTAGAGGATGTTGGCTGCCCTAAATACCGATAGTAGTGTGTGTGTGATAGTTTACCAGAGAGATATAAAGAGGAGAGAAAGGGATAAAGAAAGGGAATGAAATGGTGTGTTGTGACAATGTGTCCTCAAAACACTTTTTAATATAATCAAATCTGCGAGCTTCAAATTCTCTTGTGTCATCCAGAACACCACAATCTCGTACTGTGAATATCAATCGAGTTACTGAGTTACAGTTACAAAGCTTCACTACTGTTCTTGTTCACCTTCAAATAAAAAAGTTTCTCTAAGCTTGTTGTGCACCTCTGTTAAGGAAAAAAAAAGATATTCTGCGTGGAATAAGAATAAGAATAATAGACGTGCCTCTGAACTTAAAAAAGTTGGATGGTGGACTTGAGTAAAATGAAGTGCAGTAGAGAAGACAAGTGGTTCCTTGAACATGCACTTTCAAGAGAAAGTGGCCCCTGCCTTCTGTGCTACTGTTTATACAGACACGCATGCTGTGAACTATGAGAAAAAGCATGTTAAAGGGAACTGAAGCACAAGCGTTATTTGTGTAACTCCACTTTAGATGTGTGTTGGTGATAAGAGATGAGAGGTATAAGATCTGTTGCTGCAGTTCACCTGCCTGCATTACAATTAATAAAAAAGTGTACAGAAATGCACTTGGAGTACTTGCGACTGTCATGTTTAGACAAATTCCCTTCCAGTCCGTTAATTTCATCTGACAGTCTTCTTGATAACAATATTTGGCAGCTCTTTTTTATTTTTCAATACAAAACTGTACTAAACATCTCTGTATGAACTCGTTTTTGTTTCAAGTTTTCTGTTGTTACCGCTATCGGTAGAGTTTAGTGTAGGTGGTACATTATTTTCAAAGGATAGCGCTTTAACCTTTTAGCTCCACTCACCAGACATTTCATTTTAGATCTGCCACAACCAATGTAATAAAATCTATTTCAGGTAAAATTTAGCAGAGTTTTAGTGATAATCACTGGACATTTAACTTTAAAAGTGTCACAAAATGAACAAGAACCATCGCAATATCATTTAGCAAAAACTTTTTTCCAGTGAGCCTGGGTTGCAAATTTGAGCTAGTGGGTTCCCACTGGTATTTTTAACATGGTTTTAGAAAAGCTTTTATTAGTATTATTATTATGTATTTCAGTAAAATATGGTCTGTACAACATGAATTACACACAGTAATATGTGTTGTTTAAAAAATTTGCTAACCAGTTGCTAAATAAATATTTTGAGCTGGTGTTTTTGACGAATCATACATGTACAATAGCAAAATCTTAACGTTTTAAAACACACAGTTTTAAATTTGTTTTCAAATTTCATGGTTAAGGTATGCGTTTTGAGTGAAATTAGTGTTGTAAAACTGTCTTCAAGCATTATTAACCACAGAGATTAAAGCCATGAGGGAAACCCATGGCGAATTAGCCTCCCATTAGCGAATTAGCCCCAAATTGACATTACAAATTAAGTGGTGTACAAGTATGCAGTTTCCATCTTTTTAATGGGCATAAAAACAGAAATCTTCCAAATGAAAAGATTTAGTTTCAACAACGGCAATAAATTCAGCAAGAAAATAGAACAGTAGTATAGTAAAATTAGTACTCATAGAATTAGCATTCATTTAGCTGCCTCACTTTTCACCTGTGGATATGCTGCTGTTTATTTTGCCAGTGTCTGGAGATAAATATGAATCTGTTAATCATACAGATATAATATAGAGATTTGCCGCTCTGTTTTATTTTGTGTTGGTGTGTTGGTGTTTTGCTGTTCACTTTCACCTCTGCAGCATCATTCAGTACAACTCTCTGAATGGCTAGTGTGGTCTCTGCTGGCATGTTTCATATGCTTGTTTCCTGTGTGGACAGAGGAGTCCTTATTCCCTTTCTTTGCACAAAGCATGCTGGGTAGTACACTCAGAACAGACATGTGCTGTGTGAGGAGAGTGATATGTTGAATGCTGATTTGCTAGTGCCGCAGGTGTCCATCACTAACATTTCAA